TAATAAACTTTAGACAAATATTTTCAAAAAATCCAGGTCTCTTTTGAAACGTAAAAAATAAAAAAAATCCACGACTCTTATTCGGTATTTTCATGATTTTAGCGAAATTCATTAAAAAAAATGAAAAAAAAATCGACGTCTCTGGAGAACTTTGAAAATATTTCAATATTTCAGCTCCCAATATTCGGTGTATTCATGATCTTTGCGACATTTTTCAAAACAATTTTCTCAAGGTTTGGAGGCCCAAGGTTTGGGGACTCCAACTTCTTTGGCAGATATTTAAAGGTCCACGTTTTCGTATAGCCCCATATAACTGTAACACAAGATATTTGGCATTTTTAGAATTATAGCGGCAAATTCTTCTCACAGGGTTGTAAAAACTCGTCCCGGCCGAACTTTAAAATTTTTTTATTTTTTTTAAATTTTATTTTTTACTGCCCCACCCATTTATTTTATGGCAAGGATATAAATTTTCCCAGCTTTCTCAAGGATTTTAGTCATGTCTGACATGATTTTCACACACAGCACACCACCACATAATTTCGTTAAAAGCCATGTAATAAACAGCGACAGAACATGAGCATGAACTCGCAAATGCGTTTTGTTGATTGTTTACAACTTCCCGCGGACGTGAGCAAATTTTGTAAAAAACTCACGCATAAAACCAAAAACATTTTGCATAAAAACGGCCAAATTGAAAATAACGAGAGAGAGAGAGAGAGGCATACACGAAACAGACTAATTTTGGTCAGGCCATAGAATGAGCGGCCATTGTTTACTTATGCAGGACATTTTTGGCAAAGCCAACAAAATTTGCCAATTTGCAATAAAGAAAGTTTTGAGTTTTAGGCCGTGGCTGGGAGGGCTTTTATGTTAACAACATAAATAAAATGAAATAAAAATAATAAAAAAAAGAAAGAAAAAACTTTAAGGCTATTAACAGCAAAATTTATGGTCTGGCCTAATGCCACGAATACTAATGAACCGGCCCAAGTCGAGTCGAGTCGAGCGAGTGAATGAATCAAACTTTGTTCCCAGCAAATGGAATTGAAATTAGAAAAAAATTACACCAACACAGGGAAAAAAAAAACAACAAAACTTTTTTTTACGATCCCCAGTAATGGCTTGCAAAAAAAAGAGGGGGAGATGGAGTGGGGAGAAGTATTGGAAACAGAAAACCAATTATCTGTCTTTAAGAGACTCTAAATAACAGCTCGATAATTTTGCCATTTAGCAAAAGAGCGGGCAAGGGAAAGGAAGAGAGTAATGGAAAACGCTTAGAAATTCTTTATTGATGAATCGTAACAAACAAATAAACACAGCAGGAACAATGTACCGGCAGCCGGAGATACAGCTTGAAATGCTACCACCACCATCACCACCCAGCCAACCATCATCTTTTTTTCACTCTTTATCTTTGCCTGGTTATTTTTCTTGTCGTTCTTCTTCCTCTTCTTGTTTTGTTTTCCCATTTCAACTGAGAAAACTTTAATTAAAGTGTAAAAACTGTATCTAAACACACCGAGAGTGAATGAGTCAAACCCTTAACCCCCTGCCAAACCCTCCCTTCTAGACCCTGCTTCGAGGCAATCTAAACGCAAACGATAATGGCAACGACGTGGAAGAGTTTTAATAAAAGACCCCAACAAAGTTCGGTCATAAAGTCATCTGTTGTTATTGTTTTTCGATATTCTCATTGAGAAGATAAAGAGCAATATTAAGAGTGAGAGAGGAGGAGGAGAGATGGAGAGTAAATCCAAATAAACTTTTGTTATTTTTCTCCTGCAATAGATAGCTACATTAATTAGAAAATCGTAAGAAAATTAATGCCAACGAATTGAGGCAGATGCAAGGCAGAGCCATTAAAGTCCGGTTAAGTTATTGACATAAGCCAGGAAAAAAAAAACAAAGGCACAGAAAAGTAGTTCGATAAGAGATTTTTAATTAAATTGCAAATGACCAATAAAAATAAGCATTACAACAATGCAGTGCCATGGCAAATGATGGCTTTGTTGTAATGAGAGAATGGTAATTGAGGAGGCATTAGATAATTCAATGAAATTAATTCAAAGGAAATTTTTATTCAGCTAAATTTTTTCATTCTAAAATAAAAATAAATAAATAGAAATAAGTAAAATAAAAAAAAATTAAAATAAAAAAATGAATAAAAATAAACAAATAAATAAATAAAAAATTTAAAATAAAAAAAATTAATAAAAATAAATAAATAAAAATTATAATAAATAAATAAAAATAAGAAACACAAATGAATTAAAAAATATTATAAAAAATAAAACAAATAAATATATAATATAGTATAAAATAAAAATAAGAAATAAATACAAGTAAAAAATCAGCTAAGTAAAATAAAAAATTTAAAATAAAAAAAAATTAATAAAAATAAATAAATAAATAAAAATAAGAAACTCAAATGAATTAAAAAATATAATAAAATAAAACATCTAAATATAAAATAGAATAAAATAAAAATACAAAAAAATTAATGCAAGTAAAAAATCAGCTAAGTTTGACCGGCCCGAACTTTCAATAGCCTACACCGTTTGAGCAAAAAAAATTGCAAAATGAAATAAAATCGGTAGAAAAATGTTGCTAAAATTTTAAAAATTCCGAACATCTGGTCTTACTGCTATGGGGCTATACGAAAAAGAGGTCCTCTGCAGCCAAAAAAATTAATTTAAACAAAATTCAACTCAATAGAGATTTTTGTGAAGTAAATTAAATTTGACATTGATTTTCATTAAAAATAAAAATTTAGAACTATTAAGCTTTACGATTTCGTCACTTGGGTAAAAAAAATTTTTTGTCATAGGAGTTATTTGTAAAATTACTTCTGGGGAGAATATCCCAGACAAGAAACAAGGGAACTGATGAGGGTTGGTGGCTCTTTCCGAAACCTAGGTATTCCCTGCCTTACCCCCACAAAAAGTCGAAATTTTCAAATAAAATATCTTGCTTTTAAGAAAGAGAAAGGATCATCCGATTTTGCTCCAACTTTGCAAATTCTAATATTTACATCACTGCTTGGCCAGGTGAGAAAATGGACAATAGCAGTCCATTCTTTGTGGTACCTCCCCCACGAAGTGCTAAAATTTTGAAAAATTGTAACTCTTATAAAATGTGATGTTAAAGTCCGATTGGCTTCACATTACACACATCACAATATTTTTACTAACACAAGGTCTGGTGTAAAGATGGGATATATCGATCCTTTCTTTCTGGTACCTATCCCACAAGTTGTCAAAATTTTGAATATCCATGAAGCTCATAAAACGCAAAATTAACATCCCCTTCCATTCAGACTTGGAACATCTCAATATTTCCATCAGCACAAGGTCTGCTATAAAGATGGTAGAGATCGAAACATGCCTTCTGGTACCTACCCCACAAAGGGTTAAAATTTTGGAATAACCAAAACGATTATAAAATCCGAAATAAGCCTCTGCTTCTCTTCATATTTCACACATCCCCTTATTTCTACTAACACAAGATCTGCTGTGAAGATGGAATATATTGGTACACTCCTTCTGGTAGCTCCCTCATAAGGGGTCAAAATTTTAAATGTCCATGAAGCTCATAAAACGCGAAATTAAAGAAAAAAATTCTTTTAAAGGTGAATTTTGAAAAGTGAATTTTTACAACGGCAAAATATTTTGCAAAATTATGAAACCATTTTATTTATATATTGAATTTATGAATGGATCACTTTCCGACAATATTCGCTTTTATGTTACTGTTGCTTATATACGATTTTTTCGTAAAAATTGTGATTTTTATTCATAACAAGGAATTTGATAATATAAAAAGTTGATTCAAACGAATTTGGTAATCATTTTTCCTATATTCCTCAAGAAAATGCTGAAAATTGTTGGCTTTTTTAAAGAATTTTGAAATTTTTACAAGAACCAAGTATCCGAATTTTCCCAAAAAAAAATTTTTTTTAAGGCAAGAAACTTGTTGACCTTGTAAAAATATTTTAAATGGATTTGGAAATTATTATTTCCCAAGGAAATGTTAGGATTTTTTATTTATTAATTATTATTATTATTTTTATTTATTTATTTATTTATTTTTTTTTTTTTTTTTGAAAAAAAACAAACAAATTTTTGTTATATATTTTTTTGTTTCTTCCTCTTTCAAATATTATTTCCCAACAATTCTGCTAAATTGTTTTCCCCATTGTCTGTCTGTCTGTATGTCTGTCTGTCTGTCGGCCTGTTCCATTTAAAGTTGTATAACTTTAATGGCCTCTACTTTGGAACTAACACTCCTCCAAACAAAATACAGTAAAACGACGAAAGAACAAAACACAAAGCAGCAACAAAAAAAAAAAGAATAGAAAAAAAGACACAGAAAAGCCAAAAAAAGAATTATGATTTATGAGTTTTTATTGTTCCCGTATGGAACTACTTGAACATGTACAAGTTTATTTCTTAAAGTTCTCAATATGCTTTTTGTTTCTTTTTTTTTTCTTGAATCGCTTTTTTGATTCTTAAGAAATATGGAAGAATGCCAAACATGTTATTCTAAACGTAGCATGGTTTTCTTTTAGGTTGGGATAGGAAATGTTATTCTTTTTTTTTTAATTTTTATTTTTTTGTGTTTAAATAAAAAAGTCATTATGGGGGTTAAATATGGACAAAAGTAGGAAGGCAGAAGAAGAAGAAGAGCGGCCGCAAATACCACACCTTGTGGTATACAACATTGTATTTGTATCTGCTTTTTTGGGAAAAAAATACCACTCACTCGCTCTCTCCCTCTCTCTCTCTCTCTCGCCTCAATGCCGTGTGGCTCAAAGTCTGTTTGGGGCATTAATTGTTTAATTGATTTGATTAAATATTCTTGCTGTAATTAAGGCAACTGAAAATATTTTTCACATAAATTTCAATTAATTTTCGTTTCTTTTTTTATTAAATTAAGCACAAAATTTTATAATGTACTAATTTTCGCTCTCTTGTTCTCTCTCTCCCGTCTCTTTGCAGTTAACCATTGTTGTATTGGGTAATGGATGTTCAACGTTTAAACAATTTCCAGCAAGCATACCCAGCTCACCATAATCCCAAATTTAAAAATTTTGAATTCTAAAAAAAATACAAAAACAAGAGAAAAAAATTCTAAGAACAAAAATAAAAACAAAAAACTTTGTAACGAAGGCCTTAAACTGTGATTTTAATTTATAAGTGTTACAAACAAAGCAACAACAAAAATATTTTTAGCTTAGCAAAAAAAGCTAAAAAAAGCAACAGCCTTATTTTTTGCAAAAAATTAAAAAACAACAACAAAATAGTTTATAAACAACCGGAAAAATGTTTAATTTAAATATACCTCCCTCTTCGTTGCTGGGTGTGGAAGGCTCCGGTGGCCTGTGCTCCAAGCCCAATACACCCGAAATTCTCAATTCTCTAATTGCCATGACAAATCCCCTGGATAATTATAATTTTAATGCCAACAACAACAACAACTCCAGTGCCTCAACACCGAGTTCGGTGACAGTGCGCAATTTTAACAACCAGGTGAGTCCCGGACCACAACATATACTCCCATGCCACATAAAACATTTATCTAATTATATAATTAAACATTTGTAGAATATCTCCCAGGACAGCTGTCATTCGAGCAGCTCCTCAACACCATTGGATTCACCTGCAAATACAAATTTTACTCCCAGTGTACAACAGGTAAGACTCAAAGAATATGATATTCAAAAAAAAAAAAAAAAAAATAAATAAATAAAAAATAACAACACTCCCACACACACACATAAAAAAAACACATAAACACAGACATATATACACATTATTTTATATAGTATAGTGTGTATATCGTATATATATGCAAATCGTAGTATTACTCATAATTTCTGTTCATTGATGTCCATCACAAACAGACAACACAAACAACCACAACGCATTTTCTTTCAATTCATTCACAAAAAATGAAAAAAAAAACTGAAAAAAGAGCTCAACTGAAATGGTGCCATTTAATTGGAGACGCTTGCCAAATGCGCCCACGCCTCAGCGAGTGGCTGACCAGTGTTGTTGTTGTTGTTGTCTTGCTTTCATGACAGCTAACTGAAGGCGTAAAGCAACAACACGAAAACAATTCAGGGCAGTGGATAGCAAATAAATAAGACAGGAAAAGAGGTCTTTAGAAAGACAAAAATTTAAATTTTAGACATTTGGCGCCCAACGTAGGACCAGAAAAAAAATAATTCAAAATTACATTTTCCATAAATTCCGAGAAAATCCAGCAGATTATGAAAGTATAGCTCAAAAAAGAAGACACATTTTTCGGAGTTTGGAATTTTACATTACAAAATAACATAATTAGAGGGACCAGTCCCTCCCCCCCCCCTCTTCCACATTTTTTGAAATTTCCTTATTAATGTTCCTCGGAATCCGAGCACTTTAGGTATATGGTATCCTTGGCAATATTGCAGATAACAATATGAAGATTAATTTGATAGAAAAAATTTAACCCTGCAGAGAGTCAATGAAGGAGTCTTTTTGGTCTTGTTTTTAAGAAATGGTAAAATACTACCCTTAAACGAGATCGTAGCAAGTCAAAATATTCTACAAAATTATTTGTCATAAAATTCTACTATAGGTCCTAGAAGAAGTCGAGGGAAGAACTTGTTTTTAATATATTCCTGGAGTTCAGTTGGATAAGCGCCAGGAATATATTAAAAATAAGTTTCCGCCTCTTCGACATTTTTAGATTAAGATTTCTCTGAATTCGAGCATTTTTAGTATATAGTGTCCTTGGCATGCATGTCATTAAACAGGTCTTTTTGGTCCCTTTTTGAAGAAATGGTTAAAAACTGCCTTTAAATGGCATCGTAGCAAGTCAAAATATTCCACAACATCATTTGTCATAAAAATCTAGGTCCCAGAAGAAGTCAAGGGAAGAACTTGTTTTTAATATATTCCTGGTGTTCAGGTAGGACAAACACCAGGAATATATTAAAAACAAGTTCCCGCCTCTTCCACATTTTTGGAAATTTTCGTATTAATATTCCTCGGAATTCGATCATTATATTTATATAGTGTCTTTGGCAATATTGCAGATAAAAATACGAGGATTATTTCAGTCAACAATATACAACAAATTACAAGTCTAAATCCTTGCAACACGCCAGGAATATATTAAAAACAAGTTCTCCCCTCTTCGAAAATTTTGGAAATTTTCAGATAAAGATTTCTCTGAAACCAAGCATTTTAGGTATATAGTGTCTTTGGTAATATTGCAGATACAGCAACAAGGATTATTTCATTAAACAATTTTAACCCCCAAACAAGTCATTAAACAGGCCTTATTGGTCCTTTTTTGAAAAAATGGTTAAAAACGTCCCTTAAACGGGATCGTAGCAAGTGAAAATATTCCACAAAATTATTTGTCATAGAAATCTACTATAGGTTCTAGAAGAACTCAAGAGTCTAAATCTTACCTAAACGCCAGGAATTCACATAAATTAAAACACACATTTTAGGGTTAAAGCCGTACTCTATACGAGTTTATGCCAAAAACTTCTACAAGGCATCATTTTAGAAGGATAACTTCAAAGGCAAAAATATTCTTCATAAAATTCTATTATAAGTCACCATAGAAAGAAAATTTATATTTCCATTGTAAATCAAAAAAAAAAAATCTTTGCCAAAAAAAATCTCTGAAAAATGTACTATTTTTTCGGTTGAAGTCATACATCGTGTGAGTTTATGCAAAATTCTCCAACAAAACATCATTTTAGAAGGATGACATTAAAGACAAAAATATTCTTCATCAAATTTCATTATATGTTTCAAAAGAGAATAAATATCTATATCAAATATATAGCACGAAAATAATTGTTCCAATTTTGCCAAAGAAATGCGAAAATATTAAAATTTCTGGCATAGATTTTTTTTTGCTCTTTTTCGAGTTTCGAGCCTGAAATTAGTATAAAACTTCATTTTTGATAGAAAGAATCAAAAGGGGAAATATTTATCACCAAATTCCACTACAAGTCTCAGAATAAACTATGGACCTAGGTATGCAAGTTTTTATGAAAATTACCTTCGAAAGCTATACATTAAAAGTAGATATTACATGCTGAGGTTTTAGAGTTGAAGCCGTACCATATGGGAGTTTAAGCAAAAATCTCCTATAAAATATTGTTAAGGGAGTATGATGTCAAAGACAAAAATATTTCGCATCAAATTTCACTATAAGTTACAAAAGAAGAAAAATCTCTATTTCTATTGTCCATCAAAAAAAATAATTCCGTCCATGTTCCAAATAAAAAACCGAAAATAATTCCTATTTGTTTTCGAAAAATCTCTCCTCGGACTTTTTTTGATTTGACACCTGAAAGTAAAATAAAATTTCATTTTATGTGAAAAATGTCAAAAGAAGAAATATTCTACACAAAATTTCACTACAAATCTCAGAAACAACCTTATGCCTAGGTGCAATAGTTTTTTATGAAAATTTTGTTCAAAAATTAGGCACTAAAAGTGAAAATCACGTCTTTCCTTATTTTGCTGTTAATTTAACATGTATCCAATCCAAGTCAAAAATCTCCTTTTATACTTCACTTTTTGGACAAAGTGTCAGAAGAAAAATTATTCTAAATCAAATTTCATTGTGAGTCTCTAAACAAAAGAAATCTCTTTTTTCATTATATATTAAGAAAATATTTGCATAAATATTGCTAAAAGAAAATCGAAAATATTACCTAATATTTGTTATCAATTTTTCATCTGACTTGTTACAAGTTTACTGCTGGAAGTAACATAAAATGTCATTTTATGCGAAAGATGTCAAAACAAGAAATATTCTACACAAAATTTCACTACAAATCTCAGAATAAACCTTATATCTAGGTGCAATAGTTTTTATGAAAATTTTGTTCAAAAATTAGGTACTAAAAGTGAAAATTATGTCTATGTCTTTTTTTACATTTAATTTAACACGTATCCAATCCAAGTCAAAATCTCCCTTTATACTTAATTTTTTGGACAAAGTGTCAGAGGAAAAATTATTCTATATCAAATTTCATTGTAAGTTTCTAACCAAGAGAAATCTCTATTTGTATTGAATATAACGAAAATATTAGCATCAATGTTCCAAAAATAACCATGAAAATATTCCTAATTTTTTGATCCATTTGTCCATGGACGGTTTTCAAGTTGACGCCTGAAAGTAACATAAAATTTAATTTTAGGCAAAAAGTATCAGAAGAAGAAATATTTTACACAAAATTCTACAACAAATCTCAGAATAAACCATATGTCTAGGTGCAATAGTTTTTGAGAAAAATATATTCAAAATATTTGTAATTAAAATGAAATTTATGTCTTTGCTTTTTTACTTTTAATTTAACATGTTTCCAAACCAAGTCAAAATCTCCCTTTATTCTTCATTTTTTGGGAAAAGAATCAGAAGAAGAATTATTCCAGATCAAATTTCATTGTGAGTCTTTGAACAAAAGAAATTTGTATAGTCAATATATAATACGAAAAAATAGCGTAAATATTTGGTAATCAAAAGCCCTGTTTATTTCTGAAAAATTAAGCACTTTTTTCCAATTCCCTGCAAATTTTCTTATAATTTCGACCATATTTTCTTATTTTTCATAAAAATGTCCCACTGTATTTTCTCAGTAATATTTGTTTTTTTTTTTTCGAAAATTTCATGCACTTATTTTATTTGATTTCACGCCTTCTCCTTTTCTTCAGCAACAATATAAGAACAAATTGAAATTGTAAAATGTCATAAAAACTGACAGTTAAATGCGTGTGTGCATGATGCACACACACATACATATAGATTAGTAAGCCTCCTCATAACCGCAACAACATCAAATGGTATAGAAAACAATTTTGAGTTTTTTTTGCAACAGCTAGAAAATAAAACAACATTTAAATACATCGACATTGGCCTTAATGATGCTGTTGCCTGCCTGCCAGCCAGCCAGTCAGCCGGCTCGGCAGGCAGGCACATCACACTTTTTTTTGTTAATAATTTTAATAATTCCCACAAGTTTAAATAGAGTATAGAAAATGGAAATTCTAATGGCAAGCAGGGACGGGGGTGTAGAATTTGTGCGTCATATTGGATAAAAAGCTGGCATCTGTTGCCAGTTTTGTTTGGTGTCTCATGTCCACTTCTCATCATCATCATCCGCCGTTGCAGCAGCAGCCGTAACAACAATTAGATAGATAAATTGTTAAATGTCATAAATAAATGATTTTAATTATTATTGATTTTCATAGTAAAATGCAAATTTCATAAATAATTGATGTTGTTGTTTTATTACGTGGAGGTTGTTGTGGTTGCATCTATTGGACTTGATGATTGACTTTGGGGGGTGAAAAATTTTATAAAAAATATATTTTTCAATAGTTTCAGGAAAAATCCAGTAGTTAAAGAAAGTGGATATAAAAATGGAAGGCTCGGAGTCTTAGGATAAAATTTTAAAAGGATTTTTTATAGCCAATACCATTTCCAACGACAAACAAACTCATATTTTTCAGTTGTAGTACAGTTCGAATGTAATTTTCTGAAAAACTATTAATCCTAGCTATATGATTTATTCTGAGATTTCTAATGAAATTTTGTGCAGAATATTTCTTCTTCAGGAATCTTTTGTCTAAAATGAAATTTTATGTTACTTTTAGGCGTGCAATCGAAAAAAGTC